AGATGTTCCTTCTTGATCAAGGTGGGAAAAGGGCAACTTGGTGTGTGAATGGAGACCTGGGTTGGGTAGCTGGAAGGAAGGAAGGAGTCTTCCCAGCTACGACCTTCTAGAAATTCAGTTGAGCATCAGAATAGAGGAGAGTCAAAAAAGGGGACATGCTGGAGCCTATGGCTGGAGTCACACAACACACTTAACCAGGTTAGTTATAAATCAAGTTCATGCAGTATGCTGAGCTTGGTTAATTTTAACTTTGGGTGTTTTTATGGCCTAGCATACTGTGCAAATGCAAGGCCTTTTAATCACTGTACTGCAGAAATGCAGAAAAGAGGTTCATGCAATACTAGTCTAAGCCTGCTGTGTGAACTCGGCCTCAAAGCTTTTTCTCCTGTCATCAAGCACCGGTCCCAAGGTCCCTTTGTTGCCCTGGGGACTCTGGCTCTGCCAGGCATGGTGTCGGGGGTTCTCCTACCTGAGAGAATGAAGGTGGGCTTGGATTTGGCACTAAGCTCTCTCAGAACAATGGTCCTCTGCAATGGCCGTGCTTGGGGTGATGATTTCATGACCACCACAAGGTCTTCCAAACATATCATCAATCCAGCATTTGTAGCAGATGGACAGAGCAGGGAGATAATGGTCTGTAGGCAGGAGTTCTTACATCTATTACCTTATTGTAGTCAGAGGATTTCCTGCTGAAAATTACTGATGGTCCATCCCCTGGGGGCTAAGGGATCCCAATGGATTCCAGAAAGCTCTTGGGGATTTTCTAGCTTAAATGACAGTTCAAATGGAGAAAAAAGTAATTGGAGTGAAAGCTCATTATTGACTGGGGTAGTGGTAGTGAAAGAGCAATTGTTCTCCTTTGGGTCCTCCCAGCCCAAGTGTTGGAGCTTTTCTGAGCAGTTCAGGGCATCTTGGATTATGGCCCAGTGGGAAGCTGAAAGAAACCTTGGTAACACATTGGCTGGTTTCCACAACACTCTTGACCATGGAATTAACACTAACCCAACATACTGCTGAATTATAAACTAATACATGGACCCTAATGTACAAAACCTAGCCAAGCCAGTACAACTTTAATTGACCAAGTTAAGTTTGTTGGACAAACTTGGCTAATATATATCTAATCCCACCATCAGCCTGGAGTGCTCTTTCTCAGACATGGCCCATGCCAGCCTTGCCTTTGAAGTCTGTAGAAGCAGTGGAGGTGGAGAAACTCTGAATCCAACTTGGCCACCAGCAGGTCTACAATCAGACGGGAAGGCCAGAGTCAGAGGAGAGTCTAGGACTTGGACCCGGTTGCTCTGCAGGCCTTGAGGCGATGCACTTGCCTGAAGACAGCTCTCCTGAGAAGAAGGGGCTTGCTTGAGTAGCCACCTTTTCAGAGGGGTTTGATAGCTGGCAGCTAAGGAGTGGGATGGAGTTCCCAAGGTTACAGAACCCTTTCCAGACCAAAAGTGCAGAGAAAAAGTGTTGGCTACCAGCTCTGGACTTTGTTGTTCCTGCGATACTGCCCTGGATTTGACTCTTGGTTGACTTTGGACTCCCTCTGCCTCTGGAACTGGATTATGCCCACTGCCTAACCTGCTTGTTACCTGTGTCTTGATTTCTGGATTCCGCTTTCGGAGTCAGTATCTGTCTTTGGTCCGGCTGCCTGCTTGACAATCTGTGAAGGAACTTTGGACCGTTTACTGACTTTTGGCCCAGATCACCAGCTTACTTACCAGCCATACCCTAGGAGACAGGACAAACCTATCCATCATGAGCTAAAGCCACACTTCAAGCAGTTCATTCTGTGGATACCTAGGGCATGGCCTGGTTGGAATCTTCTGAATGCTCAAACAGTTTTAGCACTGCAGGTTGTGGAAAATAAGTTCGGCAAAGTTTGCTCAGATGTTGACCTTCATAGCCTATTTCATCTATGTCCAGGAGGTTAAGTTTTCTCTTTGCCAGATGGACTGATCCAGCCTTTTTTATAGGAGGCGGAGCACGTCCATTCCCAAACTGCGTGGGGTGGGGGTGGAGGAAGGAAGGACCACAGGGAAACATAAAGTCAGTTTTAATGCTAGAAAACTTAACATGCCCCATTTTCTAGCAGAGCGAAGAGCAGAAAAAACTAATGTGATCAGGTCGTCTCTGGATAGAAATGTGGTTGGAAATGTGGCACAACCAAGAAAGCATTATTCTTTTATTGCATTTATGGCTCATCCTTTTCTTGAGAATTCAAGGCATCGTGCATGGGGGTCTCGTCTCATTTATTTGCAACACTGTGAAGTAGGGTGGGATGAGGGAGCCTGACTTTGCTAGCCCCACTTCAACCAGTTTAATATCCTGGTTCCCCAGCATAATCTTAACAGAGGAACTGCTACGAATGATATTCCAAGACCTTGGCGAGTTTGAGATGCAAACATTGCAGCAATAGGAAACATCAGCTATTCTCATATAAAAATTGATAAATGCACACCCATAACAAAACTCAGTAATTCTAAACGACCATGTGATAGAAAGATTGTTCAGGGAACTAATCAGAGAAACTCCTCAGAACACCAGCCCAGGTCTGGTGTAAGATATTTGAAGTTTATAGTTGGTTGAATCAAATGGAAATAACAATCACTGTGCTAGCAGGTTAATTTTTCACATGCGTACATACATACAAAAAAGTTAGGAAGGAAACTTTTGAACAATGATAATGGTAGAATTTGAAATGGGAAGTCAGTGGGATCATTATTCTCCTGCATGCCTGGAGGGTGCTTAAAATCATGATCACCCAAGCGCAACTAGAAGGTTCTGCCAAGACCAAGAGCATCGGCAGGCTAGCAAACGATGCCAAGAAACTTGTGCAAAAGCAGAGGGTTTCATCTGTTTCACTTGTCTTCCCTGCAGAAAAACAGACAAATTCTAGTGACTGAGCTGATATTTTCAGAAAGGCCATCTGAATGGCAGAGGCAAATAGTGGTGAACTGACAAGGTGAAAACAAGACTCCAGTAATCACTCATAAATTGGAGAGATTGATCAGCAATGAGATGGACAATTTCACTGATTTAGGGGGAACACTTGGAGATTTGACTGAATTTGTAAACCTTATTACCAAAATTTGGAGCATTCACTGGGCCGTATTTTTAAGCTGTTGGTGAAATATGACTCAGAAACCAAGTAAATGGTTTGACTGCATGATAAAATGAATGTAGAATTTAGATACAATAATTTATATGCAACAAGGGGAATTTCAATGGAAGAAAAGCATTACATTTGCTGGTATGTTTTGCTGGTGATACAGTACTTTGCGTGCTAAAAGGGGTAGTTCATTCTCCCAAAATTGATGGAAATGGAATGATCAGTTTGGATTATTTTTCCATATTTGGTGGCAACAGTATAAAGCTCAACAATTTTGGAAAGTGATTTATATTAACAATGGAGTTTTCCAACAATATAGTACATTCATTTAAAAGTAATCAATGAAATATTGAAAATATTAACCTAATCCTATGATGCTTGTAAATTTCCTATTTAATTTACTTTGTCCTTTACTCTTCCTTTGTATTTTTCTTAAAAACACAATATTAATTTTAAAAAACTCTACCAGCCCTGGGGGTTACAGAGGTTATTTCCCATTGCGGAACATCAATTGCTAGAGCAGACAAACTCAAGGCCTGGCACACAACTTCCAAAATGCCACTAGAAAATTGGGGAACAGACTCGCTGATTATAGTCCTGTTCCCACAACAGTTGACCCAGTTAGCTACTAACCCAGTTAACTTCCCTTACTGTTGGCTCTGGGAGTACCCAGCAAGATAACTGAGTCAAAAATCAGAGCCCCACGCACACATTCTTCTTCTTCTTCAATCTTGTTTTATTGTGTTATAAGATGCATGTAAAACATTGTATTATTTGGTTATGATATTTATACAGTATTAACTAGAGATTGTTAGCACTATGATTTAGATAACCCTTTAAAGATAAGAAAAAAAGGTTTATATCATTATTAACTATAGTTTCTGAAATGTTAATGAGCATAAGGCTGCTTAAATTATACATTTAGAGCTGAGTGTAGCATTGATAGGCAATTGCAAAATGCATTATTTTGCACACAGTATGATATATATCTTAAGCTTAATACTAAGGTCTCCACTGTTTTATTTGTTGTTGTTTATAAATATTAGAAAAGAAAGAAGAAAAACAAAGCAGGAAGGCATAAAGGAAAGAAAAGAAGCTGCTTGAAAAAGTAGATAATTGCTTGGTTTCGAACACACTTTTGCCACCCTGAGCTCCACGCCACAGAATCTCAAAGGGAGCAGCAATCCAAGCACCATCTCCCTTTGTGACTGCACCCATCCCACTCATGCCACAGATCCCTGGCCAGCACCACCCACTGCACCACCCTCACCAGACCAGCACCCCAGAAACAGCCCATGGGCAAAGCACACCCACCTCCTTGCTCTGCAAGGAAAACAAGGCTGTTAATGAGGAAGAGCAGGGCACAAACAAAACACCCAAGGAATTCAAGCGCATGCTCCCTGTCCAGAACTCACAGCTCAGACGGGGAGCCTCTGCAGAGCAGGCAGACCCCTCCCCCACCCCCGCTTGGGTGCGCAAACGATGCTCCCAATGGACTCTCCAGGGAGGAGTGCACCAGGGCCTCTCCCCTTGTAACCACCAGCAGCGCAAGCCCTTCTCATCTGGCCTCTCCTGCACAGATGCAGGCTCCCTGGGCTTTCACAACACAGGCAGCTTCCACAGCCCCAGCTTTGCCTTTCCTGTTTCTCCTGAGCCATCAAGGGAGGGAGCCCTGAATGATTGGGAGGAGTGGGCTCCCCAATCTAACAGGGGCTGCTCTGTAAGAGTCGGGTCTGGGGGCAGGGTGAAGCCCCTAGACAGCCTGCAACTTGCTCCTGACAAATTGTGAAGGTCTCCCTAAAAGAGCTGAATAAGTGGAATAATTTCAAAGTAAATGAGTAAAATCTTTTCAAGCAAAACATCAATACTAGAACACATTTTAATAATGAAATAATTTATTTTCTAACAGTTGAACAATACAGAAGTATACATATACACAGCAAGGTTGTCTAAAACATGTAGTTTCTAAAAATGCATGTGCTAACTGTAATAAAAAGCACCATTATATGGTCTTGACACAGGATTTGTAATGATGTGGTATTTACATTTGGAAACGGAATCCTCACCCCCTTCCCCCTTTGCTGCTCCCTGCTTAGCCTGCATTATAATTTGGAAGACTCCAAAACTAAATTCAAAAGTTCAAAACTGCAAGTGTTGTTCGGAGCACCGACTTGATGCACGTTCCTCGATAAATAAAAAAAGAACAGTACAAAAATAAAGCCAAATGCCCCAAGCGAGTCAAACTTTGGGGTATTTTAGGAGGGAAGAGCTAGTTTCAACAAACATCGAGCAGATGGCGGCCAGGGCAAAACAGACTTTTAAGTGTCTTTCAACCAGGCAATACAGTTCAAATAAAGAGGTTTGCTAAAATAATCTTGATAATTACATTTTGTAGCATAAAAAGAAATTTCTTCTGCTCAATCATTTGGGACAGCTATTCCTTCAAACCAAAAGCATCACTGATTCACATAGCTGTACAATGAATTTCAGGTAACCCTAACAGAAAAAAGCCACTTGCGCTAACAGGAAAGGGGGAAAAAAATTCCAAGGATGCAAATTGATAATTGGGGAGCAAATGCATAACTAGATATCAAAAGCAGTATTCATCCCAATACAGTAAGTGTCAAAACCTGAATTTGTGACCAAGGGGGCGAAAGGAGGACTCTGAGTCCCATTATATTGCTGTAAATCAGATGCCAACATTTAATTAGGCAGTGAGCACTTAAAAAATAAACCCTCCCCCCCTTCATCCCTCCCAGAGAACACAGGGCTCTCTCCTCCGGGCTGTGTTTGTAAACTCCATTGCAGAAATTTAGTTCTGAAGAGAAGCAAGATGGATTATGGGCACCTGGGAAGAGAGAACAAAGTGCTAAAATGGCAGTTGGCAGTGCACACCCTGCTAATGCCCAGAGCTCTGCAACCTTGCAAGAAGGTGAGCATGTTTGTGGCACCTAATTACACATTTCAAATAAGTGCTTTGAATTTGAATCTGAATCAAAAACAGGTATTCACACAAACCCTGGAAAAAAGTTCATAAGATGTGACTATCAGCACCTTGAAAGCTCTGCTTTGTTAAAAAAATACACAGTAATAAAATTTCTGGGTGTTCAACACTCAGGAAAAGATTCACCAGGTAAAGACAATACTTTTGGGATACTTCAGATTGTCACCCTGACAGCCATGTCTATTTTTGATGAATAAGAGCACAAATTCTCAATTTTCACTTCCGATCAAGTGTCCCCTGGATTTACTGTCTGCAAAAAAGTTGCTCAGTGCTTCAGCGTTTAGTGTGACCTTTTAAACACACACACAACTTCCAGCTGTAAACACAGACACAGAAACACAGCTCCCCATTAACGATCTACAAAATTAATTTTCTGCAGCTTATTACATAATAATGCTGGTGGATCAGTGAATACGACAGAAAGGCTGGCCACACCAGAATGCTACATTTCCATGGCCTAGTTTACACATTATCAGGGCAGTGGAGTCCCCACTATTTGCGTGACTGTTCCATGCCACCCTGGCAGCGTAGGGAACTTCAGCTCATCTCACTTGACAGGGCGCCTGGTGTGGTGATTCACCCACAGCTACGCTGCTACTGAAAAACATGGCACAGGACTACGCAACCCTCCTGGGTGCTGTTATGGAGCCTGCATGCAATGGGGCAGCTGTCTCAAGGATGGACCACGGGGGCCACTGAAGCGTGGAGCTGCCAAGACCAGTCCTCACCAAGACACTGGAAGGGGTCCTTGAAGCCTCTAGGACAATTCATTTATTCATTTAGATGTTTTTGAAACACCACAGATCTCTTTAATTTAGCTTTTGAAATTAGTGCATCATTTATGGAGTTAAGTATTTTCTGTACCACCCACATTTTGAAAGGACCACATCCAGACAGTGCAAAGATCAATTACTGGTTCACAATAAGGACAATAAAATAAAACTCCAAAATACTTTACTAAAGAAGAGAATGGTTGCAACCCTTCAAAATTTCTTTTCTCAAGTCCACTATGGATATATCTGCTGCTCCCATTTACTTAGAGGGGGAGTGCCCCTGGCCAGGAGAGGTTGAAAGTCGACTGTGCCCAGTAACTCACGAAAGGCACAATAAAAAAAAACCACAGTAAGTTTTGTTACTTCTAAAGAAAAATACACAAATGTGTAATTTAAATTTACCCTATCAAACACCCTCCAAACGAAAAGCTACTTGGAACTCTAAGGTGACAACATGGAGCTGAATTTGAGAGAGAGTTTTATGCAGTTCATTAACAAATAGAGAAACTCAAAGATCTCTGGCAAGAAACCTATTGGAATCAAGGGACTTCAAAGTGCAGCTACTCAACTTCTTTAAAGATTGCAGGTTGGGAGCTCAGTCTCTGAAGGGTTTTCAGCATGGACTCCTAGATGCAAGCCAGCTCCTAGATAGATGCAAGAAAGTCTCCAGCAAGGAGGAGTTCAGTGCAAGTCAGCTGGACTTCTGAGAATTCCAGCTCTTGTTCCTTCTATTTTGTTTTGTTTCAAGACAGCACACCCCAAGTAATGAACTTTGGAGATCTTTAGCCATCCACTAGCCCCACTTCCCATCTCAAAAACTGAGTTTCTTAAAATCAACCCATTTTCATATTATTTGTTTCGATATCTGGTATAGTAGATAAAAGAAAACGTGGAATACACAGTGAAGCGCAACACGCCACATAGCCCTTTGAGAGTGAAGTGACAGGAAGTTGCTTGACTGTCTCTCCAATAGTCTTTAAGTGCTGGGGGACAGCTAGCTGCATACAAAGAATCATTGTTAAAAGTCATTGGGAGCTGATGAAGTGGGCAGTTCAAAGCAAAAAGAAGGGGAAAAGGAAAGTTCATTAGACCTTGACATACAAAGTTTCCTAATCATCTATAAAAGCACAAAATCATAAGAATAGTACATTAGGTTGATATAAAAATGAATAAATACTATTTATAGACCACATTATGTACATTTGCGTGTGCTCTACTTAGCTTAAACGAAGAATGCTGCAGATGTTGGGAGTGCAGAAACAGGGTGAAAAGGGGGCAGAAAAAAGTCTCAACATCCAAAATCCAAAACCACACACACCACATTGGGAGGGCTACCAAATAATTTAAACAGGTAAAGAAGTGCTAGAATGCCAAGAGGGCACCACAGAATTACTTTGATGCAGTCTCCTCAGTCATTAATTCAAAGCTAGCACAGCTAACTTTGTCACTCGGTTATTGCTGAATTTTTAAGGAAACAGGTCGGACTGGAACCAAGTATACAAATGAGGCATCATAATTCATTTGTGCTAAAGGGGTTGAGATCAGCTTTGTTCATCTCTCTGAGGTAGAAAGAATTGTCCCAGAGACAAAAAGCAGGACTCAGCAGCCTGAAGAGCTGCTAGCAACAAAAAGAACGTGCAGCTGTCAATGCAAAGACGACATAATCAAGATTGCACAAGCGTAGTATTTGGTCATCTGACATGAAAATATTGAGATGCACTGAACTGAAGGCATCCTACCAGGATAGTCAGCTCAAAGAGAAAACCACCCCCCAACTCCCAATGAGAGCCTCCAGCACAATTCTACTCAGCCGGCTCTTTTTCTGCCAAACTTAGTCTAGTCTCTTAGTTACCTTTCTCAACCCTATTGCCAACCTCAGGGTTGGCCACTTTATTAATATAATGACTTGGGACATTTCAGAACAATTTCTTAACAGTGACTGGAAAGACGCACTGCACAATTCCCTAACAAGCATATGGTGTTTCAACCTCTGCCTGCCACTGTTACACGATGGATGACAAAAAAGTAGGGTTCCTTCTGCAGAGGCCATGCTTGAAAACTAGTCTGGCTTTTGTTGATCGCCATCGGCCCTCCTACCCTCACGGTGAAAAGCTTCATCCAGAATACTGGCAACTGCAGCACAGGCCAAAAACACGTATGTTGCTATTAGTGCAACAATATTCTGGGTGCTCAGAAATCTGGTTGGAATGTTCAGTCTCACAGAGATGAATTTAGGGACAGAAAAGAGAAGCTAGTGGATGCCATCAGACGTGTGCTCCAGAGCGGAACGTGTAACCCACAACCCTATGCACTGTTTTCAGACTTAGGCAAAGCAGATTTTGGTAATGTTGATGGTACAAGAAGTTTACGTGCAAGAGAATTGTGGAGCGGTCCAACATACTACCTAGCGAAATCCAAGAAGGAAACAGCAGTGGATGGGGGAAGGGAGGGGAAGCTACCGGCTCCTTATAGGCTGAGGCAGGCCTTAAGATTGTTCTGCAGCTTTATTCTCTTAATGCCGGCACTCGAATAACCCTCGTCGCTGCAGACGCTTTGCAAGCTCCCTCTCTCGTCTGAGTCACTTGGGCTGCTGCTGCTGCTCCAGTCGAGGTCCCCTGTGAGATAGTCTGTGCTTTCCACATCCACATCAATTTCTTCTGCAACAGAAAGCAACGTCAGGCAATTCAGCAGAGCATTTGACACAGCAGCTCATGCTGGAACTCCAAAGCACATACACACACAAAGGCAAACACTGGGAAAGATCAGCACTTCCTCACCTCTGTCTGAATCTGACCGTTCCGAAGAAACTGTTGATCCTATACTGTCCATTCGTATACGCTCAATACCCAGTTTCTCCAGCTGCCTTTTCAGATGCCGCTGTTCTCGCTGCAACTGATCTATTTGGTGTATTGCTTTTCTGTCATAATCTTCAAGTTTCTGTGGAAGAAAACAGGCAGTGCTGGGTCCCCGCATATTAAGCGCTCCATGTGAAAGCGAACAGCTCTTTGGGAGGATGAAGCTAGTTCAAGGGAGCTAACTAGTTTTAGCAATGATCTGTTGTTCTCTTTCCATGATAACTTCTATTTTTGTTTTCACATCTTTTCTGAAGTATGCTGAAAATCTTTTGTACCAAGCTTGTCATTATCTACTTAAAAATCTACTCCAAGGCTTACAGTCTGAATGTGCTCATCAAATGTGATATTAATTTTAACTGAAATGTTAAACAGAACAGTTTTTTTTTCTGACAGAAATGATGTGCTGGAAAAGTATTTATTGCAAACACATTCACCACCAAAGGGCAATTCTGAAGCTTTCAACGCCTCTTCTCCATTGTTAGCATGCTAGTTTTAACTCACCTTTATGTGCAATTTAGCTTTTGTTAGTAAACTCAATGTAGTATGTCTACTGGATTCCGGTCCAAGAGGCACCAGCCCTTTAAGCTTCTCCAGACACAATCGCAGATGAGCACGCCTGTTAACCAAAATTATGTACATTAACATTATTGGAAATACTTTTTGTGGGCACTTCCATATTTTATTAACACATATCTAGGATGGACATTCACAGAACCCAGCTACAGATCTGTAATTATTTCATGCCATTCCAAGACAATAAATCTAGGAATACAAACTGTTCAGATGTACTCTGGCATAACACAAGCCACAAGTTCAATCTTAATTTAAGGCTTTTCATACATCAAGGAAACATAAGCAGTGTATAACTACACACCAGTACATGAACTCACGTTTTAATTAACGCCCATAAACCCCAGCTCTATCTTATCCAATCATGCAGCAAAATCTGTTGATGACCAGTGATGGACTGACCAAAGCATGCATTTTAATCAGAGCAGCTAAACACTAAAGATGTACATTTGCCTATATTGTTGCATGTAGCAGAGCAGCTCTCTTGAGATTCTGTTTAATAAAACCAAAGTTTAGTTTTAGAATTCTGAAATTAAAGATGATAGAGTTTGTCTCTTAAAAATTGTACACATTTTCAGTGGATGGGACTCTATTATACAATATCTGGATGTTCCTGTCCATCCCACTGTCCATCTAGCATTGCAGGGGTGCTGAAACTCCAGAGGGATATGTGGTTCTACAAATACCTTTAAAAGTTGTTCCCAAATTGTTATTTTTAATCTATTTTAATCAAATTATTAAATATTTGAAATGAAAACAAATTTGGCCCTCAGCCAGGAAAAAACCCTATTCCCCTAATATTCCAACCAGTGACAGCTTTCTAACATCTCAAGCAAGACTCTTCCTGTCCTGTACCTGATATTTTATTAACTAAAGATGCAAAAGACTGCAGGAGACCTGTTCATGTGAACCACCAGCTCATCCCATGAACAATTGCTTTACTTCTCTTCCAATAAATAATACCCAAACCCGAACGCTGATGTTTATCACCACCATTTTGCTACTAAATTGAAAACTGAGCACTCTCTAGTTTATCACTTTTGAGCCTTATTTCCTTTTGCCAACAAGCATTATTCTTGAAAATTTGTTACATGAGCATTATGACCCAATGGTTATATAATATTACAGTTAGTAATATACAAAAGAAATTTTAATCTACATGTTAACATGAAGTTATGTTTCACTGATTAAAGAACAGTTGGTTGTTTTATTTTCCATGCTAGTGATCATACTTAGATGGATATGGCAGAAATGTGATGCCCTTCCCTGTAAACAGGCTGCCACAATCTCAAGGAGAAGCGTAAGCTTAATTCTGGGAGCAGGATCCAACCAGCAGTTTTGATACTTGGTCCTCTTACAAACGGGCAACATTTTCTCTAATGAGCAAAGTGAGAACTTCAGCCCTGCATTTGATCTGGACACACCCCTTTCTATTTCTTGGTCATGTCTTTCTCTCTTCACCAACATATGGGAGAAGGAAAGTTTTATTCCAATCCATTCCACCCCTCTATTCTATCCAGAACTTATTAAGATAAATGTGATTTTAAAAAATAGCTTATGAAGAACAAAACTGCTGCAAGGAACAGCTGTTGGCAAAAATATATGGAATTAAATTCTGTAGAGGATTTGTTTGTTGATGTCATCTAACTGAAAAACAGTTTTACTGGTTTATGCTCGGCTCCTGTAGTAATCAATGTAAACAAGTTAATCTAAACTGTGGGAAGAATTGCAGGGAAAATGTACCTTTATGAAAATAACTGGGTGCAGAGCAGGGCTGGATGTTTCTGTATGTGATTACTAGTGTATGGCAACTACTTATGAGGGGGAAGGGTTTAATATTTAATATTAAAAGCTAGAAGCCCAGGGACTGGGCTGATAGAGGTGTTACGCTGTACAACTATTTCTTTAGTTTGGAGAGTAGAGAGTTGGGGAAAGTGGGAAAGAAGAGCACTGTGTATTCTTAGAGGCATTTAATATATTCAAGGGAAATACTAGGACAATATACTCCTAACAGAAATACTTTGCTGTCTGATTTACATCAGTGAAAGCTTACAATATATCAGAGGAAGGGGGAAAAATCATACATGGCATCTACAAAGGGAAGCCACAGGTAAAGAGATGGGGCTGTCATGTTTCTAAAGGACATCGAGAGGTAGTTGCTATACAACACGACTGTTTCGTAGACTGGCCATCACCAGACAGATGCTTTCCAGAAAACCAAGACGCACTGGGAGCCAGACTGCAATCATGAACAGGCACAGTGTAGCCAATCTGCATCAGGATAAAAGCTTAGTATTCTTGTCAACAAAACGTCACTCATTTATCTAATTTCTGCTAGTACTAGATGCGGCAGAATGGCACATAGGGGCTGAAATATTTGTCACTGATAAATGGTTTAAATTTACTGAGCAAAACAAGCTCTGCTATAGAACCAGTGTTGGCGAACATGTTAAGTAAGATTAAATATGACCAACCCTTCCAATGTTAAAAGTTGTTCAATGTTTAAGCATGCTTTTTAGAAACCTTATTTCTAAAGATAGAAATCCCACATTTTCCTTTACCATCTCATTTCTGTAGGCTGAATATTTTCAAAATAACTTTGCCTCTGTTCTAGACAAGCTAGCTAGAAGTAGTTTAGCTAGCTATTATAGGGCCTGAATCAATTCAGAGTTCTACCCAGAGATGCACAAATTTTAAATGCTAAATATTAAAAGATAACAGGGAGATATAAATTCTTTCATGCCAAGTTATTTTACTTAAATACTAACAGCAGTACGAAGTTTCAAATCTAAAACAGTCACCTCAGCCCTCCACTGTTTTGAATTCTGGATTATATTTTAAAGTTTATAAGTCCTTCTTGTAATCCAGAGAATCCTTTGTGACTCCATGATCTATAAATATGATTAATTAAATTAGCCAAGTTGCTTATTCTTAGTACAGAGCAATCTGAAGTAAGCTTCAAGAAGAGGCTGGTGTCACACCTTGCTTTATCGAGAGTTCTGACAAAACCAGACAGAGATATTGTCTTCTGTCACACTGTTCACATGACACCAAACCCCACAGGCAGTGTTTCTTTTTAACAATTATAAGAAACAAATAGAGCATCTCATGAGGGTGTTATACTTCAAGAGCATCAATGACATTTCTTAATCTCAAATTTTGTTAATTCAGGTGTGTTGAAAGCACTCTTGACAAAAAAAGAACGTTTCCATTTGTAGATGTGCTATAAATGCACAAGGCACAATGAAGCATAACTTAGGCTCTTAATTCCCACTGCTTCTATGGGAGAAAATGAAAGAAGTGCTTAATTCCATCCTGGACAGAAGAAGTGAATTTGAGATCAGGCTGCATCAGTTGGAATTGAAGTTCAGAAGTTATTTTATTGGGTCATGATATTACTATTTAAACAACTGGGCTTTACTTAATGTAATTACTCAATAAATGCTGGGGGAAGTAGTTTACTAATAATTAATGAAGATTTCTGCAAAATGTGCTTTATAACTCATACTTTACTACATGTTCAACTTGGAGTAAGCAGAAGTAACTTAATGTTTAAATTAGAAAATTTTATTAACAAGATCCCTAAAACTGTAAATGAAAAGATCCTTCAGAGATAAAAGTGGACCATCTGTGAAATGTTTTTGCTGGAAATCTAGTTCATGCCAACAATAATGGAAAGAATGAACTGCCAAGCACGAAACACACTCAAATTCCTATAATTAAAAGTTGCAGATACAACTCAGATTAATACTAATAATAGTTGGTTAACTCACCTTAAGTGTTGTGACACAAATTTGGAGTAAAACATTTCCTCTCCCTATTATTTTATTTTTGTATTAGAAACAAAATGAATTTGAAAACAAAACTTTCTAAAGAAAAATAAACATAAGGACTGCAAGCTTTATTGGATAAAAACCCAGGCCGTCTATCTAATGTTCTGTTCCCTCAGTGGTCCGCCCCAGCCAGGAAGCCCACCAAGATGACCCCGCGTCTGTATTCTCCAGACTGAAAGAGGTGCAGCCAGTTGTGCCAGGCCTGATACGCAGCAGTGAGTGGTGGCAGCAGCTACTGGGCTTTTATCCTCCGTGATTCTGAAGTGTTTCATACTGCTCAGGTTTTGCTGCTTTATTTTCATGATCATCTGCAATATTCTAAATTAGGTATTGATTTCTACCCCAACCTACCTCCAACAAGTTTGATAAAAAGACTCAGAACAGCTTCAGGAAAAAGCCATATTCCAGTAAACATACACATTATGAATCTTACATTCTGGCTTCAAGGAACTTTAGTAGAAGCGTATGAGTTTGTATTTGTGGTAAGTGTTAAATAAATATCTACTACCCAGCTGCTCTAATGTTCATATTCTCATCTAGCAATCCAGGAAGTAATCTTAAGCAAACACATTCTGACAAGAGACTTATGTCACCAAGCTGGGAGACTTAAATTTTAGTTTAGATGCCTATTTGTACCAGCCAACACACAGGAACAATTTTATATAGGAATGCTAAGCTGGTTTACAATAGTAAACATGGTTCTGTTCCTGAAGAGCCATGCTCCAGACTTGAATATATAAGTGAGTGTCAGTTTCTTTGAGTAGCAGGAACAGTCAAACCAGAAACTATTTCCTGTGGTGTGGGATCCACTATGTCAGTGGGAAACACAGACTGAAATTCTGACATCATGCCACTTTAGCACAGAATAGAGTTCATCAGATCATGGCTAGAATTAACTGCTACTGGATCCTTCTCTTCTTCTCCTCTGTATACAGTACTTTCAACATAATAAAGGCTGAATGACAGAGTCTGGTTTGACCATTTCTGTTCTGTTTCCAGTGACAGAATATGCAGAATAAATAGCCCATTTCAAAAGAAGCAACATTCAATATTGCAAAGGATTAAGGCTTTTTCATTTAGCGACATAAACAATTGTCAATTCTACACAGTGGAAATCATCAGCCAGAAAAACTAGATTTACACTGTTATAATTTGCTTCAACACGGTATGCTACAGTTTAAGTGGAATACATTTCTAGGATTAAAATGTAAACTGTTTCTGAACACTTACCTGTTCTTCTCCATTTCATTATGTGTTGATCTTAAAGAGAAAAGAGAAGACAATTACTTAGCAGCTATGGAATAAACATGCATTAATAAAAACTAAACATACATAATAAATTCTACTAACCTGCTACTGCTAATATTTATTTCATTTATATCCTGCCTTTTGTTCAGGAGACCATAATGGTATAGATGACACTTTTCCCTCCCTTGTTTCCCCACAAGAACCACTGTATGAGGTTGGCTGGGCTGAGGGAGGGTGACTCACCCAAAATTATCCACTGAGACTGGGGGTTTCTCCAGTGCTAGTCCAACACCTTAAGACTATACCACACTGACTCTTATTACTCCTACAAAATCATACAACTGTTAAGGGTCACATTGGGTACTCCAGCTATATTAAACCCTCCCTTCAATTGCAATATCCCATTACTCGATTTAGTATTCATATAAAAAAGGATAAACTTAGCAAGACTTGTAATATTCTAAGTCTCTGAATTTACAACATTCCAAATGACAAATTAAGTGCACAAACTTTTCTTACTATCTTAGATTGTCATGGTAGAACTGAACCACTCCATAGCCTCCCGGCATTTATTCTTAAAATTCTATTATTAATTGAAAAACCATCTCATGAATAAACTATTTTTCTTTGAATGACTTTAGCTAATTACTATTATTAATGAAGGTATGCTACTAACATATCACTGAAACTTACTGCAGAAATTACCTCACTATGCTAAATGCCTCTCAAGATTTAATCTGTGCTGCTGCTTATAGGCAATGGTGACTGAATAATTATTATGTAGTTAAACCTTTTCTCAAGGCCACCTGAACAAGTCCCTGAATTTCCTAAGGTTCCTGAGGAATAGAAGCAGCCTATCCCCACAATGCCTGGTCATTAACCATGCTGGCTGGAATTTTGACTTTTCCCACATATCCAAATCACCCGAAAACTACCAAACTGTTCCTAGTTTTGTAGGATAGTATTTTACTTTACGTTAAGCTACCAAGTTTGTAACTATTCTGGTTAAGGCTCTTGTATTAACACAGCCTATAAGCTTAAATAAAAAGTCTAAATGGTTAGTTTTATCAAAAGACTTCAGAACAACACATTTCAGCCTTAGCCCGCACACGGTCTTGCATAATTTCACACAGATAAAGTAAAAGGGATGTACTTCTCTGAAAAACTGGATCTCGAGTATGTTTCAAATAAGAGTGAGATAAGGGGAGAGATACAAGACAGAGGGTTAACCCTGAAACTTCATCCTCCACTTCCTGTGCCATTCTCAAATGACAGAAAACATCATGTACTCATCTTTACACCACTAACCACTGACACAGAGGGTGACTAGACAAAGCTTTAACTTGCTTTGCTATTCTTTAGCCGTGTCACAAAACAGAGGCAGCTTGAATGAAGCTTGTCCTCAGATTTGCAAATGAAACTGAAACTAGCTTTAACTGCTAGGTTGTGATCTCTAAAAGAAAACCCCTCAACAAAGGGTAAATTTGCTTCTTAGTTCACTGAACTGATTTGGAGGAATTAAATTCCAGTGCTTTATCCTGCTAAAAAAAGAATTCCACAGGTTTCCAGCTGTCTCAAGATGTTAACTCTACGACAATTAATGTGATCTAGGAAGAACTTTAATGTAAGGCTTTTAAAAATGTGGCTCTTCTGGAAGGCCACAGGGGACTGATTAGCATAGAGTCATTAGTACCAAAAAGGTTTGGTTACTTTGTATTATAATCATTAACTGTATTATTATTATTTATTATTTACATTTGGTATATTGCCCAGAGTCATTGTCCAGAGATATCATACAAAAAAAACATATAGCTACAAAAATCCAGCCACTTATTAGATGGAAGTGAACAGTTAAATAAATCTTTAACTCTCTGTTGCCATCCAGTTATCGTCCAGATTTTTGCAGCTCATACATGGCAGCCTTACTTAAACAATTCTGAGTGCTTAAAACAAATAAAAACAAGTGCAAGATATAAATGCTCTAGTGAATCTTGCGAGGTATGAGAGTTTTAAAATTGAACATGATATATTGTAGGAATGGCCAATCTTTTGTTATGAGAAGCCTTGTCTCTCATGGGCGGGACCACAAAACCTCCTCCCACTCATGATCATTGTTTGTTCATGGATTCCAACAGTAAGGAAAAAGCTGTCTCACTAGGAATGACTAGGTGGGAAGAAGTTAAAGTCTCTTCTCAGTAAGATCAGCTTCTCAGTTGCTTCCTTCCTGCTTAGCAGATGGCTGGTTAGTTGGAGAAGACAAAGTAGGAATAGCTCTGGAAGCAAATATGATCAGTGAGCCTAGCAGCACCAAATTAGAAACCAACTTTGGTTTACAACACGCTGAAGTAGGCCAAATGTTGGTTGAGTGGTTTGGGGTTTAACATCTCATGCAAACCCTGTCCTTTGTCCTAGAGTGAATGAGTGTATCAGAGTGAGGTCTAATAAGCTTTATTTGTTTGAGGATGGTACGTCACATGAGCACAGCAATTGGGTTTTGCTACCCTGAATTTAATGTGTTGTGAGAATTCACCCATGTAGTACTAGGCACAGGATAGAAAAGATCAAAGAGGTACTAAGTATGTTAGCACTACCATAAAAGAATCCCAAGCATTTTTTCCCCAAAAGTAAATCCTCCTTTTTCAATAACTTAATAAATTATAGATTTCATTTTTAACATGCTTTCAGAATTCATTACCAAGGAAGATTCAAGTACTTCGAAAAATCACCCTGATTCCAGGAAGCTAAATAAATATTAAATTATGCATATAATAAGTATGTGATATTTCTAATAAATGTGTGTGAGCTCAAGTTCATCGAATACCTTTTTCTGAAATGGTGTTTCAAGAAGCATAACACAAAGCACTCACACTGAAAAGAGATCTCATCATAGCCTACTGAAAACATCAACAGGAAGGAGGAAGTTGGGTTTTGTTTTGACACAACATATTTTCAGACACGCCAACCCATCAGTCTACGCTGGTTAATACACAACTGGGAAGACACAAAAGTGCAATGGGGAGGCGTCAGCTATCTGATCGCCTGCACCGCACGGAAGCTGGACCTCGATTAAGGCTTTAATTAAGACCAATATCTTGGGGACCACGATATGCAGAGAGCCGGTTGGCTGAAGGCGCTGGGCTAGAAACCAGGCGGCCGAAGCCAGCCGGGTGACTCTGGGCCGGTCCCCCGCCCAGCCCAGCCCAGCCCAGC